AATGTGTGAAAAATTATGAATTAGGAGGTTAGTATTTATAGTGAAATTGGTATTAGAAAAAAAAATCAAAATTTTTTTTTTACCCAGATCGCCCCCGGTACAGTACGGATCGCCCCGGGGGCGAGGTCAAACACGGTCAACGAGGTGAACAGTAATCTCGACTTTTGAGAAAAAAAATTACCCGGGATCGCCCCCATTGTGTACGGATCGCCCCCGGGGGCGATCCGGGTGGTTATTTTGGCAAAACCTCTAAAATGTGGTTATTTTGTGGCAAAGGGTTGTGTAAACCGGTTATTTTTATAAATAACCCTTAAAAAAAACTTCAACACATCTCATAGGAAATCTTTGTTTAAGAGATTACAGAATTTGAATATCTGCTCCAATTTACGATATTGTTCAAAATACCTTGGATCATGTCATAGACCTTTAAGGTCGCTGATGCCAATGGTTCTTCCCCCTCCTTTGCTACAAAGAATTTCCAGAGTAAAGTGGTAGGAAAAACTTCCTAATGATCAAATGCAGAAAATGACTGTTTAAGGAGTTCTTGATTACTATTCAATTACTTTCGGTGCCCCGGCTTCCATTACATCAACATCAAGTCAGAACAAGGAAGAAGAAGAAGAAATTAATCAATTTCTAGCTGYTGATTCAAAAGAAGAATTAAAAAGACTTATTCAAGAGATTAAACGAGGAAGCTCTCCATCAAGTAGTTCTCCCWCCAGCTCAAATGCCATATCTCAAGCTTCTCAAAATCTATTCAAAGATAGTCAAGACCCTTACGAAGATTTTTGATCTTCAAAGTGTTGTGTGTGTTTGGGTTATTGCTTTTGCAAGCAATCCTTTGTATCTATTCAAAATATATCTTATCAAAAATACGTGAAATACACTCTTTGGTATTTCCGATAACATCTTGTTCAAATCATTGTCTATTCAAAATAATTGCAGGTAATTCATTATTCATCAGTTGTTTATTACTGAAGAATGAATTCATCATTAAAAGGACATAAAGATTACTTTATTCAAAAGAAAGATGATAAAGTTTTGAAGAGACGTTATGGTCAAAAAGAATTCAATGAAGACAAAAGACTTTAAGAAAAGGAGATTCAATGTGTCGGTAGCTTCTCAATCGATTTCAAATTCAATTATTGAAGAAAGGAACGTGCCGGTTTCAAGTCTAATTATTGCTCAAGAAGAAAGGAACGTGCCGGTCATCCTTCTCAAGAATTCGCCTATAAAAGAAGTTAGAAGTTTTCATTCAAAACATCAGAGTTTTTTCATCAGTTCTAAACTTCCATATAAAAGAAGTTAGAACCTATTGAACAAACAGATGATCAATCAAAATTGGAGAGCCTTAAAAGAAAAAGAAAAAGTTAGAGTTTCTTCAAATTAGATTAAATCAACTAATAAACGATTAGAAACATTAAAGTCATTTATCAATTTAACAGAAAGTTGTACCAATTTTGCATTAAAAAAAACTTCAACACATCTCATATCAATGAATCTCATATCAATGAGTAGTGAAATAAGACTAATAATTTCAACACCTATTAAATAGCAAACCACAGTAGAGTCATCTTATTGTCAACTTCACTTTTTCGGCTTGAGCGTCAACGCCAAGGTCTATAAGGTTAGCAAAAGATCTGCTCTCGATCATGCTTTTGAACGTTGAAAGCTTCAACTCGAGTGTTTCATGTCTCCAATAGGCAATTTCAATGACGAATTAACCTTCAACAATTGAGTTTCCATTATTGGATCTTCAACATAAGTGAATCAAATCTTCTGAAATGCATATGGGGATGATTCACTCAGCTCAAACCGTTAAAAGATGATTTTCGAGATGTGATTCTATAAAAACTTACACGAGGGTCCTTAACGCGTCACAAATGGTCTTCGATCTAAACCTTAACACGAGCATATTACCTCCTTAGTAGCTTTAAAACATCACCAACAAGATGCAATGATCCAGTTACAAGAACCTACAAATATGAGTTCACCATCTTCAGTCATTTGCAGCAATGCAAAAAAGCTTTTCTGAATATATAAAATGCTACGGTAGACTTTTCTTTTTCTGATAACCGTTGGTGTCTTGGTCAACTTCCTTAACTAATCCATGGGCCTTGAAGTTAACAGATCGGGAAGTAAACCCTTCGTCTTAAGTCAACCCTTCGTTTATTTTTTTCAATAATAATGAGAACATAAATATAGTGCCATGAAATTAAAATGGTTGGTACAGATGGCAACGGTGACGGAGTATCAGAGACCCCTGCCCCCCATCCCCACCAGGAGATTTGATTATCCCGTCCCCATCGGGGAACAGGGAATTGGGATATTCCCCGTCTACTCCCTTCACGTTTTTCCGGGGATGGTTTTTTTTTGCCATCTCTAATGTAGGATAGCCTGCTTGGTACATAATTACGTAAAAAAAACAAAACAAACCCAGTATATCCCAATCAAAAGTAGGGTTTGGAGGGTAAGGATGCAAGAACCAGACTTCTAACCCAAAAGGTAGAGCGGTTGTTTCCGTAAAGACCCTCGACTTGTACAAAGTCTGAGCGGAAAGGAACTAAGAAATAAACCTGAAGCTTAAGCGAAGGGTTGTCTCGAGCAGAATTTCTTAACCAGGAAACTGCCAAGGGTAGTGAGGGGAACACTGCACTGCAACTAAAGTTTCCATTGCAGCGAGAGATATCATCATTGTAAAGGAACTCAGGGGATGGCAAATTTTCAGCAGCTTCCATCTTCACATTCTTGTTCACCCCAAAGTCTGCATAAGTTTGTTAAAAACCAGAATTTAAGATTTTGTTCTCTCTGATTCCTATTTTGTGTAACCTACTTCCGAAACCATCATTCTCAAACATTTAGACCAAGGTAGGAATTGGATCAAACATTCATACAATTGGTCCTTTAAGAAAACAAACCTCTTCCATGAATACTTCTTTCCCAAACTCTCTGGAGGTTGAACTGCCATGCCAGATCTTTGGAAGGGATGTTTAAAGGGATGTCTGAAGAACCAGAAGTAACCTTGCTGTAAGTCGAGATACTTGGGACAAAAATTGCTTTGGAGAAATGAGAACCTGGTCATGTTAACATGAAATAGATAAAGATTTTGCAATATATTTGATAAGTGCCGAAGCATTTGGTATTGAATTGCAATTGGAAGTGACGATTACAGACAGACATCTTGGGTTTCAAGAGCCAGGTTCGCTCCCAAATGTGGAAGACTCGCTAAAAAATGACATGTTCTACTCTTATCCCCCCCCCCCTAATTTCTTTTATACTCACTTCTAACCACCTTATGATAAAAACTCACTCACCCTTTTTCCTATAATAAACACCACATACATTTTGTCACCCCTTTTCTCTCCCCTTCTTTCTAAAATACACGTTTACTATCGGTGGCTTGTCGATACTTACCCCCCAATGAGTCACCTTGTCCTCAAGGTGAAATGAAGGAAACTGCTGACAAATGACTTTCAGGCTCCCAAGTATCCTCCCTTTCTGGTAGATCTTTCCAGCCAATTAAAACTTCCAGATTGCTATTCTGTCGAAATAGGAACCCTTTTAGTGTTTCTGGTTAGGTGGTGAATTCCATGTCGGTTTGTAGTGTCGCCGTTAATGGAGCCGTTTCAAGTTGGTCCCTCACGGCAGCCTTCAGTTGAGACACATGGAACACTGGGTGAATGGCACTCTCGGGGGGTTAATTGTAGTCGATAAGCTACCTTACCCACCGGTTCAGTAACCATGAAAGGTCCATAATACCATGGTGCCAACTTCACGTTACTGCTCCTGCAATAGTTGACTGTCTGTACGGTCTCATTTTTAAGTATACCCATTGCCCTATGTCAAACTCGATGTCCTGACAGTGTTGGTCAACCGATCCTTTCATTCGTTGTTGTGCTCGTAGCGATTGTCAAGTAATTCCTCCAACATCTTGTCACGATCCGGTAGGAGTTGATCTACTGCTGCATTAGTATGTTCACCTGCTGGAAACGATAATATGCGGGGAGGTTCTCGTCCATACAGGAGCTGAAACGGGGTAGATTAGCGGAGGAGTGGAATGAAGTGTTGTACCAGTACTCAGCCCACGGTAGCCAAGCTACCCACTTTTTTGGTTG